AGTATGTTTACACTGTGGCCTTTTACTCAAAGGGATAGTTCTGATTTTTTTAAATGCGGCTGCGTGGGGCACTTATTCAGAGTCAGTGTACAATTTATATTAGGCCTACAATTTAGTTGACAGTTTGGAGACGCAGACTGGAGTACAACACAGCAGCTAAGAAATGTACTGCTGAGGATGTAGGCAGCAGTGAAATGTACTAAAAAAAAATAATATAATTTTAAGTGTATGCTAGTAGTATTTTCACTGCTTCACCTTCCAGTCAGTGTGCCCATTCTCCATCTATGCTTTCGTCTACTTCACCAGACTCCATTGACAAAAACAGTAATTTTAGCTCACTGAACACAGGAGCTGCTGGTCCACTGCTGCCTTGATAACATAGGGTTAGTTAGTGTTATTGTGTGATGTTGGTGAATCTGAAGTGACCGTTTAAAACACCAAAGTCACACAGTAACACAAACTTTTCAAGGCAGCAGTAGAGCAGCAGCTCCTGTGTTCAGCGATGTTAAATCAAGGGTTTTTTTTCAGTGGAGTCTGGCTCTGAAGAGAGAGATATAGCAGCTTCATTTTCACCTTGGAAATTGCTGTTTGACACCAAAGTAAAGCAGTGAAAACATTCTCAATACAGCACACACTTTTTTAGGTGGGAATTTTTTAAGGTGGCTAAAATACATTTTGCAGCTGCCTCTGTCCACAGCAGGTCATTGCTTAGTCTCCATACCTGCTTCTCCAAACTGGGGGTGTGCCAACTGACATCTACTGTATGTAATATGCTGACTATGAGTAAGTCCCCCATACAAAACTACTTTCCCTTTAATGAAGTGTCTGAGTAGTTCTTCCACCACTTTTTATCTCACTACATTCAGTGGCACACTCATTAAATAGTTAAACTCGGACTTTCACTGCAGTTACACACAATAAATCCATCTAAAATCAAGAAGTAAAAACAAGTAAAATGAGAGCCACATAATGAGACAGAGTGAGTCAGGACCAAAAAGTGTCATCTCACTGTGACCCACACACGAGCTCTTCACTAACTGTCTTACCTAAAATCTTTGTCAGTTGATGTCATTTTCTCCAACAGGTTGGAGATGTGGTAGGACACATTGGACATCTTGGTGTTTTGGCTGCTGTCAGCGGAGATATGAAAACTTACTCAGTGTTAACAAAGAAACAAAACTGTGACGACTGATTTAACCCGACAACATGGCGAGCGTGCAGGGGACAGGGAGCAGCAATAGCAGAGAGCGGAGCGGCGGGGAACCTGACACTCGGTCCAGATATAAATAGATGTGACGGGGAACGTGTGTCAGGTTGATGGCGCCACCGTGTGGACACATGGAGTACTGCGGAATAAACTGTTAGGAGAGGTCATTGAATATTTTGTGTTGGTTAATGAGTGTTAAAGGTCAAGTATCCGTTTGAATTGCCGTTAACAGCTGTTAGTTATATCCTAAACAGTGTTAATTTGTAGATTAAATGACTTCCTTTGTTTTTATTATACATCTATGCCCCCCCCATATAATATTCCTCTGAGATGTGGAGTGGAAATGTAAAGTAGCATAAAATGGAAATACTAAAGTAGAAGTTCCTCAAAATTGTACTCGGTACTTGAGTAAATGTACTCACTTACAAACCATCATTGCTATAAAGTTTTTGCTTTGTGGTGTAATCTGCAGTAGCTCAATCCATAGGGACTGAGGGTTGGGAACCAGAGGGTCGCCTGTTCAAGTCCCCGTCCGAACCAAATATGGAGCGTGGACTGGTGGCTGGAGAGGTGCCAGTTCACCTCCTGGGCACTGCTGAGATGCTCTTGAGCAAGGCACCGAACCCCCCAACCGCTTGGGGCGCCTGACCCAGGCAGCTCCCTCACTCTGACATCTCTCCACTTAGTGCATGTATAGGTCCTGTTTGTGCATGTGTGTGTTCGGACCTGTGTGTTATTGACAACAAGAGTGAAAAAATTGAATTTCCCCTCGGGGATTAATAAAGTATATAAATTAAATTAGATTTGCTCAACAGTAGCCATAACAACATAATTGTTGTTTCAAATACTTTTATTGTGAAGCATAGTAATACAGACCTCTGATATACACACAAATAGAAAAAGTACAAAATAAATGGCAGGTCTGCAAGTTAAAGTGTATATAAACAGCATTCAAGCATTCTTTGAAATACTTAGGAGTCATATGAAGCTTTTGAACATGAGGTCAACTGGAAGATCTGATTTATATAGCACATTTTAACATTTCATTACACGTAAACTCAAAGTGCAACAACAACATGTATAAATATATAGTATAAGCACGGGCCATGAACATAATCACATAGAAAATGGCCAGAAAAAGTGCAATTAAATAACTACACATTCACAAACACACAAATGGACCTCAAGTCAGCAGGTAGCTTGTTCCAGAGAGCAGGACCACATTAAGTAAAGGCACCTTCATCAGAACCAGATCTGATTCTGGGTACAGCCAGAAAACCTTTGCCTGATGACCTGAGAGGCTTGATCAAGTTTTATTCATTGAGCTAGTCAGAAATGTTCCCAAACCATTAAGTGCACGATAAGCAGGATTTTGAAGGTGATTCTATATCGTACTGGGAGCCAATGAAGTGTTTTCAGTACCGGAGTAATATATTCAATTTTTTCTGTACCTGTAAGGACTCTGGCTGCTACCTTTTGAATGAGCTGGTACCTGTTTGTTTGGATAATCCTGCAAAATGAGTGTTACAGTAGTCTAACCTGCTTGAGATGAATGCATAAACAAGTTTCTCAGAGTCAGTTTAAGATATGAATGCTTTGAGTTTTGATATATTTTTAGTGGTAAAACACTGTTCTTGTGATATTGGTAATGTGAATTTCAAAACCGATATCAGTATCCAAAATAATACCAAGGTTTCTGGCTTGGTCACTGTATTTCAGAGACAATGACTCCAAGTGTGAATGCATTTTCTGTCTCTGACTTTAAGGACCAATTACAAGTATCTCAGTCTTGTCTGTATTCAGCTAATAAAGGTTTGTGTACATCCAGCAATTAATATCATCAATACAGTTTACTAGTTTGTTAAAGGAGCAATAAGCGACATTCATCATTTCTAGATTGAAGGAAATAAAAAATTGCTATGTGAAGAACTAGAGGTGTAATTTCATCTGGAGTATAGCATGACCTCACACACCCTCTCTCTGTGTTGATCTACAGCCCCTTGTTTACAAGCCGGTCCGGCTGCGCGTTCATGTACATTCATGTGTAAATTTAATGTTACAATCGTAGCATGGGTTAATGTCCAGAGCTTGAGTTATTAGCGGCTCTGTCCCAGCAATGGGTCAGGCGTTAGGGTTGTGTTAGGTGAGCAGCCCAGCTAACATTTGCAATTAGCATTGTAAAATGTAGCCCAGCGGGCAGCCTGGCGGCTGTGTTTAGCTATTCCCCTGCTTACTTCAATGATGATGGTACCTGTAATAAATGCAATATATTTGCTGAAATGGAGGCGAGGTTCAGTGACTAGAAGAGCTGGTAGAAGCGCTCCACAGCTGTAAGTTACTCCAGTAGCCGTAGTAGCTCTAGTGCTAATTCCAGGAGCTAACGCTAACGTCCCTACTCTGCGTGAGCCGGAGCCGTGAGCCGGAGCCGTGAGCCGGAGCCATGAGCCGCAGGCTCACGGGCTCACGGAGAAGAGTAGGGACGTTAACGTGGCAGCCGACTAGTGCTAATGCTAACAGGAAAGCAGGGAAATAGCTAAAAACAGCAGAGACTGAGAGTGAGTGAATGACATCGCTAACTGCTAAACTAAGCCAAACTAAGTTGGCTGTTTAGGTTTTATTTCCTCGCCCCTGTGGCGAGTGAATCTGCCTGTAGTGAAACTGGGGCTAACCGGTGCTTCCTCCTCAGGCTCCACTTCACTCAGCTGCCAGCATAGCCAGTTAGCCTCCGCTAGCTTCCCAGCTAACGTTAGCCCCGGCTCTCCGTTTGGATCCAACCGGAGCACCGAGCCCTGGTTTGTTATTCAGGTTAAAGTGGGAAGAAGCAGCGGGTATATTGGGCAGCTGAGTGAAGTGGAGCCTGCGGAAGAAACACCGGGACCGTCTGGATGTAATAGTCCGTGGAGATGCTGCGGTGCTCGGCTACACAGATAGGTAACGAGGCGAGTGGGGTGGGGGGTGGAGAGCAGAGGTAGAGGGAGGAGTGGCTCATGACACACTTTGTTTTGGTCTACAGGCAGTGCACAACAGCAAACCTAGCGGTGAAACGATTTCGCTTTTTGCCCCTTTAACAGGACTGAGATCATTAGAGGAAAGGGAAATGTACAGCTGTGTGTCAGTGGTGCAAGAAGGGGAAGATATATTGTGTTTCTTTATGATAATACCAAATTGGACCATGCATAGGTTGAAGAGCAGTGGCCCAAGCATTGATCCTTGGGGAACCCCATGCAGAGCAAATTTTTGTTTCCGCAGATTCAAGGTTACCAGTTGAAACATAACAGCTCTTGTCCTTTACGGTGAACCTTTTTCGACAAAAAGTTAAGAATTAAGATATCACGATCCACAATATCAGGCAGCAGTGAGATCAAGCAATACTGAAATTGAGGTTCTCTGTGGGGGACTGTTGATCTTAAAGGGATAGTGCACCCAAAAATGAAAATTCAGCCATTATCTACTCACCCATATGCCGAGGGAGGCTCAGGTGAAGTTTTAGAGTCCTCACATCCCTTGTGGAGATCCAAGGGGAGAGGAGGTAGCAACACAACTCCATCTAATGGAGGCTGACGGTGCCCCAGGTTCAAACGTCAAAAAACACATAATTGAAACCACAAAATATCTCCATACTGCTCGTCCGTAGTGATCCAAGTGTCCTGAAGCCCCGACATAAAAAGTTGTTTGGAAAAACGTCATTTGAACACTGTTTTTAGCCTCATTATAGCCTGTAGCTCTAACTTTCGCTGGTCTCGTGAGCGCGGCATATGGGTGAGTAGATAATGGCTGAATTTTCATTTTTGGGTGCACTATCCCTTTAAGGTCATTATTACTTTTATGAGAGCTATTTTTGGCTCTGAAACCCGATTGGTATGTTTCATAAATATTGTGAGTTGAAGGATATCCATCCAGTTCTTTGCATACAACACTGTCAAGTATTTTACTCAGAGGAGTAAGATTGGAAATTAGTCTGTAATTATTCATCACGATGGGTCTAGATTGTTTTTCTTTAACAGAGATGAGATTACAGCATACTTGAGAGAAGCAGAGAAAAGGTGCTCTGCATGACTGGGAGGAGCGACCATGCAGCTGTCTTGTTATGGTTGGGATGTGTGGAAAGTGAAATCATTGACAACCAGAAACTACAGATTACCATAACCATCCAGAAACATGGACAATTATAATGCACCAGTCAACGATGTAAGAAGATGCAAATTACAGCGCATAAGTTAAAGGAGTGGACTGGATCACATTTCACTGCAGTTGTACCTTGTAGATTTTCAAGTAAAAAGTTCTTGAGGTGTGCCGGTGTTGAAAATCACAACCTCAGCTGTAAAGCTGTCCACTCTCATATTTAGTGCCCGGACAGTGAGGTAGTCCATGATCCATGTTTTAGTCTATTTCAGTGCGGTTGCATTGCCAGTAGTTTTTCCCTTCCTTTTCTTTTTCCTTTCCTTTTTCCTTTTCCTGATTGAGGGGGATATAGCCATGGTCTTGATGTTTTCCATTGAGGGTAGGAGTGCAGAGTCCCCTGTAGAGGTGTGAAATAGGGGTGTCAAACCACGTTCAGCTAAGTGGCAAATTCTTGGTTCCCCTGCACATCAAAGGCCACAGTTTACAAAGTGAGAATAGAAGATGATCATCAGTATCAAACAGACTCTGACTTGGCTCTTATAAACATGATACATATAGGGTCATATATTTATTAACCCCTTTGTGAGCTTTAACAACAATTTTAAGATTGGATTTAATTTCATATTATAAATTAAAAAAATAATTAAATATTTACAACAACTTTGAATTTGGTGATCTCTCATTTCTATCTGAGGACCTTTTAAAGAACAAAACCAGTGTGATTACATCTCCACCTTCTCTTTCTAATCCAGGCGACGAGGGAGGTTCAACCTTTGTTTAAGAGTCTACATTCACATTTCTAACAATCTCAAATCTGAATCTTTTGTCTCTTTCTATACTTGATTGTCACCATCTTATTCACACCGCTAATGCACAACTTTAATCACTTTAAGGGAAGAGAAAACAGTACCGACCATTATCGTCTCTTTTCACAAGCTACAAGCTCACTACATTTTAGAGGGAAATATTGTACTTTTTACTCCACTACGTTAATCTGACAGCTTTTGTTTCCTTTCAGATAAAGATTTTACATAAAATAATATATTTTTATATTCTCAGTGTTTAAATTGTCACTTTTATTTTATCTTACTTATATGTTATGCACTTTGTGTGACAAGTTTATATACAACACACTTGTATATTGCACTTTGCAGTACTTTTACTCCGAATCTACCCAAAGTATGTAAAATTGGCTCCACACTGATAAACTACACATTAGAATGCTCTCACATGTATTTGTTAATGATAAAAACAAACAGTACTGTAAGAATATAAGCTGTCAGCATGATGAGTGCTTTATTTTGCAAATATATGACTTGCATACTTTTCGAGGTTTTTCAAGGATATGAGTACCTACTGTAACAAGAAGTTTGAGTTTTATGTCATGTACTTGGGGAGAAATCCAGCTGAAGGACTGAATCATGTAAACCAGGTTTTTCTCATTATCAGATTATTGAAGAGCATGTAAACGCGTCAAATTGGATTATTACCATTACCTGATTATTCCCAGTTATCTGATTATTGTGCGCATGTAAACGTGCTCACTGTTTTGTTGAATTTCTACGCAGCTTCATCTCATTCATTTACAGTGGCTGCTATTTGTGATCTCAATAATCATGTTGAGCAACAGCAACTTGAGACATAAAAAGAATTCATAGCAAAGCCCTGCAATAAAAGTCATGTCCGAAAATATTTCATTTCTGGGATTTAGCATTTAAAACTTTTTCAACAATGTTTAGCCAGCTGGTTGGCCCATTTATGTCCATGGCAATATTCTGAGTAATTGCTCTAGATGTCAGTAGAGCCCAAGCAGACATTGGCCAGGTTTCCCAGATTGCTCTTAGCGCTAAGAGCTTCTTAAGAACGCTCTTAAGCCTCCCGTGAAAGAAAAACTTGTTTCCCAGATCGCTCTTAGCTTAAGAAGATCTTTCACTAAGAAGGAGTTGTAAGATCGAGCTGACCCACTCTTAACAGTCTTCTTAGCGACCAAACGCTCACAGATCCAGCTGCGGCAGGCAAATTAAAATTACACTAAGCAAAGAGATATTAAAACAGTATATTTTGATCTTTTTTATACTTCAGATTTATATTGTTTAGCATTAATTGGTGACAGAAAAGTATGAATTTCATTCTGCAGGGAAACGCGTGTCCTTACTGTGCACATGACAATAAACACTTTGAATCTTGAATCTATATGTTTTATGAAGACCCTGTGTGTGCTCAAAGCTGTGGCACAAGTTACACACCGAAATCTGGCGGAAGAAAAATAATAAGAAAAATAAGTATGAGGAATAACAAGTGTGTTCCTGTATGTGCTGTGCACATCAGGCACACAAATAAAATGTATCATCATGACTATCATTTATCATAACTTGTCTGCACATATCCCACATCTGCATGCACATATGAGATAGTTTACCGCTCCCAAAAAATGTGTCAGGGCACAACAGAAACACATCCACCCTCCAAACCTGCGACATTTCACAGAAATTAGGCAACTGACAGGTGTAATTGAGCTCAGCTGGAACCTCATCAAGGGACGCTCCACCTGCTACTCTATATAAAGGCGTTGCCACATCACACATGTGTGAGATTCCATGGCTGCTTTACAGCATGTTCTCGCTGCTAACCAACAGCGTCGCCGTGTGCGAAGCCAGACCGTATATGTAAATGCATTTGTGTGTCAGCACTTCAGCCCACTCAGTGTGCTGTCAGACCGGGCTGTCCAAATGAAGTACCAGCTGCCCCATGCTGAGATACAATGCCTCATCAACTAGTGGTGCAATTTCGCCCTCAGCCCGGAGGTGCAGTGCCTGGCTGCGCTGCGTTTTTACGCAGTGGGGAGCTTCCTGGAGGTGCTGGGAGACAGCACCAGCCTCAGCAAGGCGTCTGTGTTTTTGGTTTAAATATAACACATTTCCTCATGATTCTCTTACCAAGACTACTTCTTATTTAGTTGCAGTTTTGTTTTCATCATGAAAATAGGTCATTAACAAATATCGTCTTAGTTTTTCATTAGAATTATTAGAGCACACATACACACGAGCAGCAGGGAATTAGTGTGTTAGGTAGCAGCACTGTGTGTGACTTATGCGCTGATTAAGTGGTGGGTCATCGATATGCCTGACATCAATTGATTTAGTTTCAGCACCGCGGTAGTGGCCAGCTCCTGCTAAGAGCTTCTTAAAGAGCAATCATAAAAGCGACCCTAAGAAGGGCATTAAGAACACATCTGGGAAACACTCTTGGCGACCCTTCTTAGCCAAGATGTTCTTAACTGTGCTCTCAAGTCTTAAGATCGTTCTTAACTGGGAAACGCGGCCATTGTCTCTTTCTGCTCACTTCTGGCCAGAGGGCTCATCCTTGAAGGACTCTTCACCTCCAACATATGGACATTGGATTAAGGATGTTATGTATCATTTACAGTTGGAGAAAATCTGTTTTATTAAAGGATCAACTGCACGCCTCTTTGCCACCTGGCAAACTTTTTTAACTTTTGTGGCAAATATGGAAGCTGAAAAATTGTAATGAAACATGGTATACTTCCCTATTGATGTCACACAAGTTAATCAATTTGTCGTCATTTTCCCTTTTTAAATTCATATAAATATATATATGTATATCTTTTTTTTTTAATTCCTAATTTATTTTCTTACTTGTGTATTGGATTTCCTTTGGCTGGTCTGCCTTTCTCTGTTTGTTTCTGGGTTGGTGGGTGGGGTTGTCTTTTTGTCCTTGCTGGTTCTGTGTTTGTTTGTTGATGCTCTGTGCATCTTTATTGAATTACCAATAAAAATAACTTGTTTAAATAAAATTCTTTATCTATCCGTCAGGGTGATGCTCACTCACTGGCTTTAGGAAGACTGTAATGCTGTAGGTTGTAGATTAAGTGGCACCTCTGAAGGATTTTCCTCACTCTGCTTACCAGCACCTGCAGAAAGGACAAGAAAAGACAAGAAAAGAAAAGAAAAGAAAAGACAACATCATCAGTTTTGTATCATCCATCAGAAGTCTGCTTTTTAAACAGTTCACAGTGGAGTCTGAATAGTTTTAGTCAGCAAATTAATTTGTGTTTACAGATGAACCCTGAGCTCGACAATCAAACATTCTTCGTAGACTGTGAAATCTGTGTCACATTTAACAATATGTGATGATATAAAACACAGCTATGAGTCAGAGTCTACAGTTTATAAATGAATATAGCTCACTTGAGCTGCAGACGCAGAAAAATATCAACCTGCAACTATTGTTGAAGCTGGAACCACAGAAAGTTTGGCATTTTTGCTTGATGAAATAATTATTAATCAGCTCTTCAACAGTTCTACACTAGTGTTACTTGAACTGACTAGCTGCTAATGTCAGTTATCAGCTGGTAGTTTAAAGGCCCTGGCACACTGAGACAACTGTCGACCATCAGACAATGTTGGGCTGTCGGTGAGCATTCGTGGCCCTTGTCACTGTGGTGTGTCCCGCAACACTGGCCCTCATCGGTACTAGTCGCCTTTTTCTCTGCCAATTTAGCATGTTGACTTGGCGCCAGCGACTGCGAACCCATTGGTTTATGAAGTCACTCTGATTGGCAGTTCAGTGCAAAAGAAGAGAAACTTAAGTGAGGAAAGTAAACAAAGTGCTAAAGTCAAGAAGGAGTGAGACCAAAACAAACTTGTTACATAAGGTCAGATTATTTTTCTTTAGCCATTGAGCTCTTTAGCATTAACAGTTTGTGGTGGTTTGTTTTGTTTGTTTGTTATTGTTCACTAATGCTTGGTAAATACACTTTGTTCTTTCAGCATTGGATTATGTTGTTAATGTGCTAATTGACTAACTAGTATCAAGACAGTCTTCCGGTTTCCCTTACTGACGACCGCCATCTGCTGGTATGGAGAGCTATTTCCTCTCATGGACACTGTTCATGTGAGATGCAGGTTAACTGGTGATTCTAAATTGTCCGTAGGTGTGAATGTGAGTGTGAACGGTTGTCTGTCTCTATGTGTCAGCCCTGCAATAGTCTGGCGATGACCTGTCCAGGATGAACCCTGTCTCCCATGCAGTGTCAGCTGGGATAGGCTCCAGCCCCCCTGGGACCCTCAAGAGGAAAAGCGGTTACAGGAAATGAATGAATATATTCATTTTTAAACAAGAACTATAAGCCTCATGAATAAATGAAGTCTCAGTGGATTTTTTTTATGAATTTAAATACAAACCTGATATATTTCGTATCTGAGAGGACAAGAAATTATCTGTTTATGTTGACGTTTGCACATTACAGATATGTTAATACATTATATAAAACTTACCATTACTGCAGCGTGTTTTTATCCACAGTGCAAAACCATAGGCTATAGCAACAGTAAGAGCTCCCAAAATCATTCCACCAACCAACCCTCCTGTAACATTCACTTTGCAGGACATGCCCTCAAACAGTTTCTCTGAAACACATCACAAAAAAAACAAGTGTATGTAATGCAATGTAATTGTGTATAGCAGAAAACAACGCAGGTGCTATGCCTAAAATCTATGAAAATTAAAGTTACATCATATGAACATGTAGAGTAATTTGCAGATTAAAACACCACTGTAATGAATCTCACCTGACACACAGATCTCAGCTTCACTCATATGTCTGATTTCCTCCTGCTTGACTACACAATGGAAGCAGCCAGCCTTGGTCACATTCAGGGTAACGCTGTAGTTGCCTCCTCTTTCTGTGAACTGTGGGTTTTCAGCAGGAAGGCTGTTGGCATCACTGTCCTGCCACTCCACTTTAGGTTCTGGAGAAGCATCCCGTACGTCACACTGCAGCTGCACCCCGAAGTTTGTAACAGCAACTATTGTTAAGACAGGCTTTGGAGCTGCACCTGTGAACACAGAGTTAAGAATTGTTAACAGCACTATACATTTAATTTCAGTGTGCCATACAATGTGTATAATGTCTATAAGAGTAAGAAAAAAGAAACAGGCAACATGATAGGAGATAAATCTTAGAACATAATAAGGTATGTTAATAAAGTATGATAAAAAATGTTAACAGAACTAAAACTTAAGAGTAACATAACAGTTAAACACTGGCAATGTAACTATTAGGGTGTATCTCTCTGCAGCAGCTAAGTAAGGAAACACTGTCTGACTGGACTTCTGACTACATTTTTGCTCAGAATGGGGACCGTGGAGTTTGTTCCCACCTCTTGCAGTGGAATTACGTCATGAAAGAATCACTTCGCAGTTTGTACGGAGAGGAACGATGATTACTCTCTCATTGTACATACTGCATGTAAACCTCTCTTTTAAGATTCTAAATCATCTAACTTACAATCCAATTTCTTGCATTGTAATAAATAAAAAAACTCATTTAATTAAAACACATACACACATGAACTATGCAGAGAGCAGAATATTCAAAATGACTTCATGGAACACAAGGAAAATACGAAAGAGGGAACGGTCACAACAACAGTAACAGTGATCAAGGAGCCACTTTGCTGCCAGCTGTGTCAGAGTCAGTGGGGCAGGCACTGCAAATCACACTTTAACCCATCATATTTTTGTTGTTTTAACTTTGACTGAAAAATCCTTCCACCAGACCAAAAAACACACATTACATAATTCTTACTGACATTCTTACTGACAGATCATGGCTCTGTTCAGCAGAGGTTGAGATACATGATCTGTTTGGAGACCATTATCAAGGAAAAAGAAAGAACATATTTAGATTTTAAAAAAAAAGAACATCAGTAAGAATTATGTCATTTGTATTATTTAATCTGGTGGAAGGATTTTTCAGTCAAAGATAAATGTGATTGCAGTGCCCGCCCATTGAGAACTGGCACCAAAGTCTGGCTCCTTGATCACTGTTACTGTCATCATGATGACCATTGTTTCTTTTATATATTCCTTGAAGGAACACAGGAAGGTGGCTCTTCTTATGATGAAGCTGCTGTTAGTAGAGCCATGTCATACACATCACAATTGTAGAGACCAGTGAAATCCTCACTCACCTGAGATGTCTCTCGATCGGTCTTTAAAGATGAGTTCTGAAAGAAAAACAGGAACAATAGGCTAGTTTGTGGGTGATATCATGAACTTGTCATTTTAGCTATTACTGAATACTAATATTAAAGTACTACATATCAGCATGGCTGTGATTTGGTGATGGATAATCACAGGCGTGCTGTCATTCAGCACAACAGTAATAAGTGACAATAGGTTATAATATGTGGAAGATTTGTGTAAGGCAGAGGGTGCCACTGCGCAAAAGCATTTAATTGTAATTTTTTATATGACAAAACTTGAACCTGTATTTATTTAATGCATGCAAACCCTGCAAACTAGGTTGGTACTTTGTGTAGGTCTACATGTTACCACAGGCCAGCTTCTTTGCCATGTACATTTATCTGAATGTTTCCATTAACTATGCTACCAGTGAAATTCTCTGACAATACCGCCATTCTGTCTTTATTGGATAAGAAATGTGGCACATCTGATTATCTTTTAGAAATTCAGAGGTTTGTCAAATGGTGCGATGACAGCTATCTTATTGTGAACACTAGTAAAACAAAAGAGATTGTGTTCGATCCTAGGGGGATTGGTGACCACAGGCCGGTGGTTATCCATGACCAAACTATTACCCAGGTTAATTCTTATAAATATCTTGGTGTCTTCATAGACAACACATTAACCTGGAGCACACATGTTGACTGCCTCTGCAGCAGATTGCAACAAAGGTTGCACTTTTTGCGTCGCTTGAGAGCACATGGTGTTGATAAAAATATCATGTTGATATTTTATCAGGCAATCTTAGAGAGCCTTATCAGATACAGAATGACAGCATGATTTGGGAACTTTTCTGTACAGCTAAAAACCAAACTGATGCGTTTGATCCATACAGCATGAAAAAGAGAACACTCATCCATGCAGAGTATCTACGAACAGGCCTCCTTGCGACAAGCAAATAAGATTATCCATGATTAGTCTCATGTCCTACACAGAGAGTATGAGTTACTACCCTCTGGAAGAAGGTTCAGAGTTCCTCGCTGTAAACTTCATAGATTTAAAAATTCTTTTGTCCCGGTGTCTATCAAGCTCTTAAATAGTAGCATGTAAAGGCCATTGTTTTTGTTTTTGTTCTTTATTAGTGGCATTCAAGGCCGGGATGCTCTCAACTTTTGCACACTTCTGCACTTTAAAGGCTACTGTTTCCAAATTGTCTGTATATACAGTACAGGCCAAAAGTTTGGACACACCTTCTCATTCAATGCGTTTTCTTTATTTTCATGACTATTTACATTGTAGATTCTCACTGAAGGCATCAAAACTATGAATGAACACATGTGGAGTTATGTACTTAACAAAAAAAGGTGAAATAACTGAAAACATGTTTTATATTCTAGTTTCTTCAAAATAGCCACCCTTTGCTCTGATTACTGCTTTGCACACTCTTGGCATTCTCTCCATGAGCTTCAAGAGGTAGTCACCTGAAATGGTTTTCCAACAGTCTTGAAGGAGTTCCCAGAGGTGTTTAGCACTTGTTGGCCCCTTTGCCTTCACTCTGCGGTCCAGCTCACCCCAAACCATCTCGATTGGGTTCAGGTCCGGTGACTGTGGAGGCCAGGTCATCTGCCGCCGCACTCCATCACTCTCCTTCTTGGTCAAATAGCCCTTACACAGCCTGGAGGTGTGTTTGGGGTCATTGTCCTGTTGAAAAATAAATGATCGTCCAACTAAACGCAAACCGGATGGGATGGCATGTCGCTGCAGGATGCTGTGGTAGCCATGCTGGTTCAGTGTGCCTTCAATTTTGAATAAATCCCCAACAGTGTCACCAGCAAAACACCCCCACACCATCACACCTCCTCCTCCATGCTTCACAGTGGGAACCAGGCATGTGGAATCCATCCGTTCACCTTTTCTGCGTCTCACAAAGACACGGCGGTTGGAACCAAAGATCTCAAATTTGGACTCATCAGACCAAAGCACAGATTTCCACTGGTCTAATGTCCATTCCTTGTGTTTCTTGGCCCAAACAAATCTCTTCTGCTTGTTGCCTCTCCTTAGCAGTGGTTTCCTAGCAGCTATTTGACCATGAAGGCCTGATTAGCGCAGTCTCCTCTTAACAGTTGTTCTAGAGATGGGTCTGCTGCTAGAACTCTGTGTGGCATTCATCTGGTCTCTGATCTGAGCTGCTGTTAACTTGCAATTTCTGAGGCTGGTGACTCGGATGAACTTATCCTCAGAAGCAGAGGTGACTCTTGGTCTTCCTTTCCTGGGTCGGTCCTCATGTGTGCCAGTTTCGTTGTAGCGCTTGATGGTTTTTGAGACTCCACTTGGGGACACATTTAGAGTTTTTGCAATTTTCCGGACTGACTGACCTTCATTTCTTAAAGTAATGATGGCCACTCCTTTTTCTTTAGTTAGCTGATTGGTTCTTGCCATAATATGAATTTTAACAGTTGTCCAATAGGGCTGTCGGCTGTGTATTAACCTGACTTCTGCACAACACAACTGATGGTCCCAACCCCATTGATAAAGCAAGAAATTCCACTAATTAACCCTGATAAGGCACACCTGTGAAGTGGAAACCATTTCAGGTGACTACCTCTTGAAGCTCATGGAGAGAATGCCAAGAGTGTGCAAAGCAGTAATCAGAGCAAAGGGTGGCTATTTTGAAGAAACTAGAATATAAAACATGTTTTCAGTTATTTCACCTTTTTTTGTTAAGTACATAACTCCACATGTGTTCATTCATAGTTTTGATGCCTTCAGTGAGAATCTACAATGTAAATAGTCATGAAAATAAAGAAAATGCATTGAATGAGAAGGTGTGTCCAAACTTTTGGCCTGTACTGTATTTATACATTTTTTCTATCTTATTCCTTTGTGATCTTTTGTGATCACGCATGTGTGAGGCACTTTTTCTAGCTTCTGATTGTCTGTTGATGTCTGTTTGTATGTTCTTATGGAATTGAATGCTTTTTGTGGCTGCAGCATGGGTGAACAAGCCCAGGACAAATTTCCCACTTGTGGGACAATAAAGTTTATCTTATCTTATCTTAAATAAGAGCCTGCTGACTCATTTTGGTGGCATACATGTAATTCCAATGAGTTAACAGCTTGAACATACAGTACCGTTGCAACATCTTTGATGTCATGACCACACCTAGAGGTCTGCAGTGCAAATTTGGAAGTATTCAGGCTTCCTACTTCCCTTCATCCTCTTCTGACAACCACTCATAATAAGAACGTGAGGATAGTCAATGAGCTTGGGGGCTGTTAATTAGCCTAATAAAGTTAAAAGGTTATTTCAAACTCCACTTTTATCAGTGCTCTGGGACTACTCGTTTATGTTAGCATTAGAACAAAACCAGCATACAGCCAGATCACTGAGAGCTGCTGCCGGTAGAACTGTCCCCCCAGGCTCCCTTACAGTAAAGATGGTGGTGAGAATAACATAAAGGGGGCTATTTCATCTTGTATCTTGCACAACTTTAGTTACATATCAGGTATTGAATTGACCTGCAGATGCACTGGTGCAAAATGAGACCAAACATTTATGTCAGTTTTTGAGCTGAAGGCCAAAATGTGGCTTGTTGTTTTTAGCCATGACACTTTCTGGGAAAACTTGCACCCCCTACCTGCTGGTTAAGAGGAGTGAGGAGTCAGCAATCAATGATTGTATAAAACAGTCAAAAAAGGTTTTTCAACAACTATGAGTCACATCACCACAACCACAAAAGGTCCATAAGCACACAGTTATTCATGTGCACACATAATATTAGGCTAATTAGTCCACAAGTATTTGACATTTAGCCTACTGCAGAGAGACAAATACACAAATTCAAACAAGCACACACAAGACCAAATGCACGTAAGCCAAGAGGAGATAACAATTGATTTGCAGGAGGAAAAAGAATTTGCAGCATGTGCATGTGCAAGAGCCCGTGGTTCAAATAGAAATAGAAACAAAACTCACTCACTCTGCGTAGCACACAAATGCAGATAGAGCAAGCGGCAGCAGGTCATAGTCATAGTTGACCTAAGAGGCAGAGCAGTAAGTAGAAGCTCAGTTCCCTCACCATAGAAGATTTTGCAGGCAGGCAACAGGACAATAGGTGTCAGTGTCATTACAGGTGCTTGCTTATAAAGAAAGATAAGACCACATAGAGGTAAACAAGGAAGAGGAGCAAAGAGAGAAAAGATATCAGGTCAATTTTTGATATGAAAAGCATCACAGGTTGAAACTATAGCAGCTAATGTGGGGTAGTTACACTGTGGAAAATGTGCTCTGCACAATTTACTGAGGTAGCTGATCTTATTAATCCATAAGAAAAACTATAGTTTTGCGTGTACACATTCACAAAATCCTTGTTTCATACCTAAAATGAAAACTGGAGAGACAATAAATTAGGAATAAACTGTTTAACTCACCAACAACAAGCTTAATGTAGAATGTTTGACGTGTCTGAAGACGTGGAAAAACACAGGTGTAGTCTCCACTGTCAGTCACCTTCGTCTTTCTGATGATAATGGAGGCGTTGCCGTACTGCAGTTCTACAGGAAAATGAAAGACTCGACCTTTGAACTCCTCACTCTGACCTGATCGCCCGTTGTTGTAATGGATGCCTGCATCATAAAAGAACACCTCCTTCTTTTTTCCATCTTTCTGAGCAACTTTAATCCAGTCAAACACATATGACTCAATGTTCTCCTTGGTGCTGAGGGAACAGGGTAACACAGCATCACTGTCTTCTTTGACGACCACTGTGACGTCACCTGACCCTGAAAGAAGTTAAAGCAGAATATCTGAAAACATTTATTTTATTTGACATACAAGGCCACAAGGAGTCTTGTTGTCATTCCATAACATGGTACACAGTACACAAAGGAACAGGTCCCAGTTAAAAAGGCAACATATAGAAACACAACAATCAAACAAAAAAATATACACAATAAATAGAAACTGTAGCTCTGAGCATAATGAATAAAATAATAATGTGTCCCCTAAATTAACCTGGAACACAGTTTACAAGCATGTTCATTAGTAGTCATATTGTTTTGAAAGGTTTATAGTCTGGACTTGAAGCAAATAACATGTGTAATGATAATCTATAATCACTCATTATGTTTATCAATAATCATTGTAGTGACCCCTTTTGTTTATCAATCAAGGGCACCTGGTTGCTTATGGTGAAGATGCTTTGACGTGTGTAAATGACATGTCCACTCCACTGCTTTGATCAGGAATAATCATGGTGCTATTGTTCACATTCTTCAGGTCCACAGTTTCCAATACGAGCCAAACTTTCACTTTTAAGAACAACTGTCTGCTGACCAATGCAGATGCAGATTTACCAATTCAGAATACAAACAAACACCATTCACCGACACGACACCACATGGTACTACACGCTACACCACAGTCTAAATCTGCTTTCTTCCCTTCCATCAGCCACCCCTGATTGCCTCACCTGGCTGATGATATGACCTGAACAGTTCACAGCAGGGATGCCCCCAGTGGTGGGGAGCTCACAGCAACAAAAATAAACAAAAATAAAAATGGAACACATGCACAGAAATGGCTCTTACGCTCATTAATACAATTCAAATTAAGTATTGAGTTGATTCACGGGCTTTGCCTCTGCCCACAATGAAACCTACTGGAACGTAGGGTTGTCACGATACTAAAATTTCAAACTCGACATCGATACCCAGGAAAATATTCAATACTCGATACCATTTTCGTTACAGCAGCAAAAAAATTAAGAGGCATGTCATTTTTAAATAAAGATCAGAACAGTAACATCAATGATAACAACAAAAAATCCCCCCAAAATAAATAACAACCAGAAACAAGAGCTGTCCATACAAATGTATTTATCTACAGCCCTGTTTATTTTCTGTGCTTCTGGTGAATTGGCACCATATTTTCGTTGCTGATCAAATAGAGTTGGTAGTTTAGGCTCAGGATGCTCCTGTTTCTACCTCACTGTGTGATCAGAGAACCAGGGGTCACGGGAGAAACCAAACGTTTTTTCAGCTTCAATCTGTGACTTTACAGTTAACATAACTTTTCAGACACACATAATTGTGTTGTCCTGTTAAACTAACATTGTCTATTAATGTTACAGACGGGCATGACTGATAAAGTTTTCTGCTTAGCTCCCACATTAACGTTAGAAGTTATATTTTGTCACTGTTAGTATCGATACTTGTAAATTATTATTGTATCCGGATACAGCGTTTGAGTATTGATACTTTTGACAACCTTAGTCTTATGTCACTTTGGGCAGTTTTCACCGTCCGCGAATAGACACGCATTAAAAACCCGTGTCGCGGCTGGCTTGAAGACGAAATGACGGCTCACTTGACCGCAGCCTGAGTCCGTTTTTTCGTCCGAAAATGTCGCACGTCAAAAAGAAAATACGACCTCACGTTTTGTCAATCACATTCGCACGGTGAGTCCGTGAAGGGCAGGAGATCGTGGGCAGCGCACAGAATGTGGAGGAAAGAGGCGAAGGATGGTTCCGTCCCTTCGTGTACGTGACCCGGTGCACCGCGTGCAGAACAGCGAGTAAAGTGTAGTAAAGTCTGACAGGTAACTCCAGCAGAGAGAGGCACTGTCACAAACTGCGAATTGTCACAACGAACAAAGCAATGAAACACACCGGCATCAGTGGATTGCGTTAGTGTGCAAGGGTTCTGTGCGTAACATCTTAAAAAACGCATCCGACAGAAACAGATTCAGTGTGTGCCATTAATTAGCCTATATGCTGATTATCTTTAGAGATAATAGAGATGGGCCTAAGTGGCAGACCGGGCGTTTTAATGACCCCTGATGAACTACTGAGTTATATTAGTTTAACGTGCTTACCTTGTTCATGTCCAAATACTATCGCAGTTAGAGTCAGCAGACAGAAACACACAGACAGAAGCTCCAAAGCTGTCCCCTGAAGTCTGGAGACTAACATGTTGTCCCGAAGTAATGTCCGTTGAATGTGCTGGAAGGTGGTTGGATGTGTTTGTAGTCACGCCGTAGCGGCAAACTTTAACTTCAACAGCTTTCATCCAAACTAGAGGCGATATGTTTTTCGTCGGATGGTAGCTAGCGCTTTCTCCGCCTCTAGTTAGCTAGCTAGCCAATCAGAGGCTAACTAGCTAGCCCCGAACCTCCCTATGGCCAGCCCGCCCCTGAGTTTCACTTATTAGCGGTGACTGTGGGCTTGTTTTATTCATGTGTAGCCGGTAGTCTCCTCCCCTGCCACTATTCGGCACGGTGCCAGCTTTCCGTGCAACGGGGTTGTTGGGCAGTGTCATATGCACCCTTATATTCATATGTGTGTGGTCGCACCCTACTCCTTGCAGTGCAGCTGACTGCTGGGAGCCGGGGGAGACGAGGTGATCCGCTGAGCCCTGCTGGGTGTAGTCAAATGCCCGCTCTGGTATGTCAGCCTGCACATTGTCTGCTTTTTCAATCTGTCTGTCACTCAGCTCCCAGCTGACTAACATCTGCACATAATTCTCAGGCTGTGTGTGTTTGAGCCGCGTCCTGAGGCTCACATCCTCCGGTTGCCTGGGGTTTGCTGTGCCTGGTATGTGTCAATTTGATTTTGTTAAACGGTTAGTTTTGATTTATTTAATTAAATGACTAAATATTAGGTTTTTGTGTTTCTTTTAGCGGCCCTCTGTAACGGTTTGGCCCGCTACTGACCACCACTCCCTGGGCTGCGCTGCTGTTTTGGCTCTTCATTTTGACTTTGTTTTGGTTCTTTTCGTTTATTTTCTTTGATCCCGTTTCTTTGATTTGGTTCTCTTTTGTAATCTTGTTCCTTTGTTTTGTTCTGTCTTGGCTGCTTGGGGCGGACTCAGTTTTGGTCCGGAGCGGCTGATCGCCGCCTGGGCCTGCATGTCAGGGTTCTGGCTATCACACGGGCTGTTCTGGGGCTTACATGATTGCCCACGCCTCGTGACCATGACACGAATGTTTTAAGCCCTCATTTATTCGTTTGTTCTTTTGGTTTGTGTAATGAAGAAATTAGTTTAGTAATTTTCCTTTTGTATTTTGGTTTCATTTATTGTGATAAATTAGTTTAGTTATATATATATTTTCGTGTAGGCCTATTTAGTTTCAGTTATTGTAGTTTTTGAATCAGTTTATTAAACCGTAGGCCTATTGCCTATTTTTTATTTCTTTAGTTATGTTCACTTAATTTATGTAAACATTTATGTAGTCCACACCAGTTTGTCTATTTATCTTTTGGGCATGTTTTATTTGTGTGTGTGTGTGTGTGTGTGTGTGTGTGTGTGTGTGTGTGTGCGTGCGCAGTGTCACCATGTGATGGAATGCAAGGAGTCTTATATCTAATGGACAAGAATTTAAAAACTTTGTATCAAACTTATCAGATAAACCTCATGTATTCAACAGACATGACCACAATGGGATTTTGTTATGTGTTTTGTTTTGTTATGGGCTGATACAAGGAAAAGTAGTATGGTGTGGGGACTTTGATGCTCACATTACATTATGGGGGAGCAATAATACAGATGCAAATGGGTCAGTAATAAAGGAGTTTATAGATAATATGGGTTTGGTGTGTATAAATGATGGAAAGGGCACAAGGTATAATAGTTCACAGAACACAGAGAGTGTGATTGATCTGACACTCACATATTATAATCTAATATTAAGTGAAGCCAGGTGTGGTAAATTACTGGAAAAGAATGTAACAAATGTAGAGGAAATGAACGGGAAATTGATAACAGCGTTGATACAGACAGCAGAAGAAACTATTCTGAAGAGTAGAGGAAGTAAACGAGGAAAGAGTGTGCCGTGGTGGAATGACAAGTGTAGAAAAGCAATAAAAATGAGAAATAGAACATTTAGAAAATTGAAAGTTCACCACACACTAGACACATTGATCCAATACAAAAGAGCACAAGCATTAGCTCGAAAAACATCAAGATCAGAAACGGACATACTGGAGACATTACTGCAATAAAATTGGGAGAGAAACACAGTTGGCAGATGTATGGGGAATGATTAGGAAATGAATGTCATAAAGAGTAACTCTGAAATACCAGTGATGCATTGCAATAACATGACAGCAATAAGTACTGCAGAAAAGGTAGAGCTCCTAGCGAAGATGTTTGTGAAGGTTCACAGCTCATTTAAGTTATCTATAAAAGCTAAGCAGTGTGGAGATAATGCCCTTACACAAAATATAGGAATTACAGAAAGAAGGGCATCATCAGGAGAAGACCTAGATTTAACGTTAACTCGATTTGAAATGAGGAGAGCAATATTAAATGCACGACAAACGTCACCAGGGAAAGATGGTGTATGCTACAGTATGTTAGCTCATATGACAGACAGTGCATGCGCTTGAAGCAGGGTTAAGACTGCTTAATAAGATATGGGACACAGATAAACTCCCATCAATATGGAAGAAATCAGTTATAGTACCTACACTAAAACCAGGTAAGACTCATCAAATCCCTCTAGTTACAGACCCATCGCAGTTAGGGAAAATTTTGGAACGGATGGTGATAGAGAGACTAACACACTTTTTAGAGAATAAAAAGCTATTGTCAAATTATCAATGTGGATTTTATAGGGGAAGAGGGACGATGGATAGTGTCTTATGTCTAGAATCAGAAATAAGGAAAGCTCAGACCAACAGAAATGGTGATTGCTGTAATTTTTGATATTGAGAAAGCGTATGATATGTTATGGAAAGAGGGACTACTCATCAAACTCAATAAATTAAGTGTAAATGGAAAACTGCACAACTGGGTATTAGATTTCATGTTTGGGAGAACAACAGAAGTTAAAGTGGGTACAGAATATTCTAAAATATATCAAGTTCAGAATGGAACACCACAGGGAAGTGTCTGCAGTCCAATCCTGTTTAACATCATGATCAATGAAATTTTTGAGCAAATTGAGCAAGGTATAGGGAAGTCACTGTATGCTGACGACGGGGCCTTATGGATAAGGGGGCGGAATCTGGAATTCATACAGAAGAAACTGCAGGCGGCAATTGAGAAGGTGGAGCATTGGACAGATGTATGGGGCTTCAAACTACTGGTTGCAAAGACATCACAAAGAGATCTCCTTGAGCAGGTCAGGGTCATTAGATTACTAGGTATGTGGCTGGATAAAAAGTTGACTTGGAAGCATCACATTGATAAAGCAACCAGAGCATCACTGTTAAATATATATCAGACTATTATGAGAACAACACTAGGGTGTATAGGGTATTTATCAGCAGCAGAAAGTCATCTTAAAAAGCTGGATGTACAGCAGGCACAGGGACTGAGGATATCTAAATCCTCTCCAGTAGCAGCCATACAAGTGGAAATGGGGGAACAGCCTTTACGGATCAGAAGAATTAAACATATGTTAGCATACTGGGTCAATCTTCAAGGGCATAGCACTTCACACCCTGCTAAAGCCATCCTGGAGGACTGCTGGGAGCATACTGACTCTAATTTTATGAGCTTTGGATTGATAGGGAACATAAAAGCAGAACAAGTAGGTTTAGGTCATATACAATTCAGTCCGACAATCCCATATTCAAGTACTCCTCCCTGGCTATTTGTAGAACCATCAGTAAACTTTGAAATACAGCAACAACTGAAGAGAAGGAGTAAGCAAGTGTCTGCTGGGAGGGTAGCTCAGAGTTACCTGGAACAACACTTCTCAGACAAAACAATGATTTTCACTGATGGGTCAAAGGACCCTGATACTGGATGAATGGGAGCTGCAGTTTTCATTCCACACCACAAAGTACATATCAAGAAAAGAATCACAGAACATTTATCAGTAAATGCAGTGGAGCTTTCAGCTATTATATTAGGTTTGGAGTGGATATAAGAAAACAACCATAACAATACACTAATAGCTTCAGACAGCTGGGCAGCACTTACAAGTATCAAAACCATGAAGTCATGTAGGCAAGATCTCATAATTGAAATACACAATCTACTGTACAGAATACACAAGAGGGGTCTGATGGTCTGCTTTATTTGGGTTCCTGCCCATGTAGGAATAGAAGGTAATGAAGGGGTTGATATTCTGGCCAAACAATCACTTAAATCACACGCTGTAAATGCAGAAATTGCGTTAAGTAGGGCAGAGGGTAAATCAATAATTAAGAAACATATGGAAAAAGTGTGGCAAGAACACTGGGACATCCAAGACACGGGAAGACACCAAAATAATATACAGAAACAGGTTGGGTTGGGAAGAAGGATGGGCAGGAGCCTGAGGGAAGAGGCAGTCGTCACACGACTTAGGATAGGGCACACAGGACTGAATAATACACTACATAAAATAGGTAAACATCCTGATGGCAAATGTAATCACTATGGTCAGTCTGACTCATGCATGTTCTGTTGGAGTGTAGAGCATATGAGTAGGGAAAGGAGGGCACTGATAACAGCAGCAGAGAAGGCCAAGATATGTTTAAGTAGCGTATAGGGAACCTGCTCAGAGGAGAGTCAAATAATATACTCAAACATCTAATCATATCTAAAAGATACAAGGCTGATGGAGAGGATTTAATTTCCCTTTTTTTTTGTCTACAAATCTACTGTCCCACACTCCGGTCCAGGAGGTGGCGGTAAGGCACCTTCAAGTTGGTTGCCAACCTCCAATAAACTCCATAGAAGAAGAAAAAGAAGCAGAAGAAGAAGAAGAAGACGACGAAGAAGAAGAAGAAGGAGTAAACATGACAAAGGCGTCAGCCGCGTTTCCCAAATGACTGAGTTAACTTAGGGAGATTAATCTATGAGTTAAACCTCGAGCCACATTTACTGTAGCCTACATTAGACAACAATGTGTTCAGTTGAGTTTTTGAGAGAGTTTGTCAACGAGCGACTAACTGCTGCTGCTGAAGAAATATTGGGAGTTTTTAAAAGAAGCATCGTCGAGTACGAGGAAGAGATCGATCGTCAGCGCAGACTATTGGATATCGTTTTGAAGCCTGAAATAAAGTTACACAGGACAGGTGTGTAAAGTTGAATTAGGACATATTTACTGTGGCGTGTGTATATTTGCTGTAGCATGACATAAGTATGCTGTTGGTGGTGTTGTGTGTCCCTCCAGAGCTCCCACAGCAACATGTGTGTAAGGAGGAGGAGGTTGTCCCTGAGCAGCAGCTCTGTATTGAGGAGAGGAAGTCCAGTGTGGACCAAGAGGAGCCAGAGCCTCCACAGATTAAAGAGGAAGAGGAGGAAGTGTGCAGCAGTCAGGAGGGAGAGCAGCTTGTAGTGAAGCAGGAGACTGATGGCTTCATGTTGACTCCTGCTGATGAGGAAAGTGAGCAGAGTGAAGATCAGACTCTGGACTTCATTCATGATGACACTCAAAGTGCAGCAGAGAAAGAGTCTGT